GTTCTAGGAAAAATCGGAATACATTTATATGTCACCCGTTTATATGTCACTAGTGGAGGAAATGTCACATCATATTTTTCTTAGGTACACACAATGACTTAAAAGGTTTAGTGAATAAAGTGAAAGAGGAAAAATACGTGATAAAACAATCCAGGAAGTCTATTTTATATTACAATAAAGACACCATCATGTTGAGTATAAATAGCGAGGAAACTGTCTTGCAAGGAATGTTTTTTTTTCTCTATGGCTGACGTACAGGTGGTTCGTGGAGTTAGTGACAATTTGCGAATGTAATTAACGTTCTAACGTGCACTTACCGCCACCAAAATAGATTTCACACGGACAAAAACAAAAGAAAAAATGACAAACTTTCTAAGCTATCTGAGGATTATGTTAATATTTGGCCTATTTACAAGACACAATGTGTATGGCGACGATACAGGTAAGCATCAGCAGTTTATCACTTGATTTCTACTTTTTTTTAAAGTACGTACTTTCTTTGGCAATACTCAATTCGCATCATAAAAGTTTTATTTTATTTCCTCTGTAAAATATCTCAATATCATGATCATCCTTCACATCAATTCAGGGGTTGCGACATGGGGCTTTGGTTTCCCCAGCCCCTAACAGCTCACGGGCGTTACGCCGCTGTCAGATGGATATCGAAATTAGAAGGTCTCGAATTGGAGCACTGAATTATTCTGGCCCGCAAGCAAAACATAAAATTTTAAAAAAATATGAAAAGAAACTAAAAGTAATAACCATTCGATGAATATTTTTTTTTCAATAATGTGAAGACCAAATCACAACACTGTGCCAATTTGCAGTAGGCCAACCAGATCTAGAATTAAATCCGTTACCAATCAATCGACAAATCGCCAAAAGATTGGTAGTTTTAGTTCAGCTAAATATGACATAGCAGATTAAAAATAAAAAGTTTATCATGGACTTACTTTTATTATGAGTTCATATTTAAGTTCATGTTTTTGTTTGAAATACTCCTACAGGATTAGTATTACCAGGGAGTTGTTGTATAACAGGTAACAATATTTAGTTAGGAGTTCAGGAAACGCTACTTCGCACACAGCTACACTTTCACAAAAAACGGAAGACATGACAAGTTCTATTACCAGTCTTCCATATGGATTCCATATGGAAAGGTTTGGGCCAGTTTTCCCCAATTTTTCCCCAACTCAGATCGAGGACAGAGGTCAAATGACCGCATTGTGTTGATTGCGTTGTTCCACTGAAATGCGAGGGGTTTTTGACTTACATAATGGATCACTACTCAGTAAATAAATGTCATTCTATTTAACTTTTAATAATAAATATATGCCTGGCATTTATATTATAATCAAAATACTAGTGTATGGAGGCTATGAGCAACCCGATACATACCACAGACTTGTCATGTGCTATGTTTCCTATGGACATATGGAACGGTCGCATATGACATCATTTTAGCGACCTAGAAAGCCAAAAAGTTTTTTGAAGGACTTTATATATATTTTGATTCTGTAAAGTAAAACTACTGAAGTTTTATATCAATCTCGAGCTGTTCGCCAGTTAGGGTGAGAGAAATACTTGAAAACGATTGTTTTTTGTAATTTGCTATTCAAAATAGCGGAAGGTGTCTTCATAAACAACAACACAGAGAAATGATTTTAAAAACATAATCCACTTCCACCGATTGTAAATCATATATAATGTAGGTAAAACATACTTTTAAATAAATGACATTTTCTCCATTGGTTAAGGCGGAAAATGTAACCTTGCCCAATAGGACAATCTTTCCATAATAAGACAACATTAAACGTATAACCGACCCTGCAAATATATTTTGGCCACTCTAACTTGGTGTGAAACCAGGGGCCTAACAATACCAAAACGAATGGAAATTTAAATAGAATGTCTACGAATTATGGGTTTCAGAAATCTATTAAATACGGCCTCAAAATGCTACGTTTTTGTAGCTTCTGGTCCCAGCTGCCTACATACGGGCCTGTAATACAACTTAATAGATGAAAATTATTAAGCTTTACCACTTGTCATACTACTTAAAACCGTCAGTACCCAACAAACTCTTATTTTGCGAGAATTAAAATTATGTGGTGGTGCCAGTTGCGGAGGTAGATTCCTGTCAGAGAGAATATAAAAGAAAAATTCAACACATTTGTTAGGGGAAAATGTAACTTGTAACTGTTACAGAAATGTAATGGCTTTGCCCCCTGGACCCTCATTCAGGGGTTCTGGGACATCGCTCCTCCCCAGGCGCGGATTCAAAACTTCGCACTGTTAGCTAAAAAAAGTAGTGAAGGGTGTTGCACTGAGTCAAGATGACGGTGCAAGTAAACTTTTTGAATTAAGAAAGACAGTAAAACATTTAATAAAAGCAAGCATATCGTGAATAATATTCTGGGTGAAAATAGACGGCATAGAAAATCACCTTTTCCAAAACAAATCATGCAAAGACTAAATTGTTTCTCTTATTAGGTAGATGTATTAAATTTCTCATGATCTTTTATCACCAATTTTCGGCAATCAGCAATCAGAGATCGAAATACTTTGTGTGACGTACCGGTACCATTGAAAATAAAACTTTAAAACATTGTCTTTGATGTATATTTACTTCACCTACTTTAAGCCGCGAGTCCACATCCATCTCAGCCCCACCATGATTGGGGATGAGGCGCGAAAATTTGGTTAAACAGTCTTATCTTTACACGCTTTTTTTTTCTCATACTTCTCAAATTATAATACAGACTCGCGCACTCAAGAGATACCGGTATTTTGCTATAAGAAAATGTATTATGACTGTACACAGGGCTCTTTCGTTAAAGCCTGGGTCATTTATGCAGTTCACTTACACTTACGAAATCACACTGCCACCAAAAAGTGGACCCCCTAAAAATATGTGGGTGGGTTTGACATTTGTCTTTATTTTATTGCAAAATTATTTATTGAATGATTATTACTTTAAATTTGTTTTTAAATATCATTTCGTTTTTTTTTTTTCGCTTGCCAAACTAAATTGCTCCGCGGGCCAAATTTTGGATCACACTGCCACCAAAAAGTGGACCCCCTAAAAATATGTGGGTGGGTTTGACATTTGTCTTTATTTTATTGCAAAATTATTTATTGAATGATTATTACTTTAAATTTGTTTTTAAATATCATTTCGTTTTTTTTTTTCGCTTGCCAAACTAAATTGCTCCGCGGGCCAAATTTTGGAGGGGCCGTCCAAACTTATACAATGGAAGTTCAGCTGTGGTAGGTTTCGGCATTTGTTTGTTAGTTGAACGAATGGAAATAAATGTTGAAATGTTCAATTATTATAATTAATCATGATTTTCATAATCACCCTTTGAACCAACCAGAAGAGCTTACCCAAACTGCATGCGAATATACAGTATTGCGACTTGTTTGTTACGGAGAAGGCATCCTCGACATCCACTATGCTTTGTATGGCCGTTTGACTAGAGAAATATGTATAACTAATTCTGACAGTTCAACATCCTGCAGCGCTGAAGGTGCACTTCAAAGAGTAAGGCGTATTTGCCAACATCGAAGTTCATGCGATATAGAAGCAAGCAACAGTGTATTTGGAGATCCGTGTAGAGGAGTGAAAAAATATCTTCAAGTTAAATATACGTGTGGAATTAAAGGTGAGAGTACGGTGTATCTGAATCAGGTAGGCCTACACCATCACAACCGTCATCGCCATCACCATCATAACCGTTACCATCACCACCACATATAGCCTATTTCATAATTGTGTTTGAAAAGAAAATTTACGGTACTTTATTTGTTATTGGAAATTAATAATTATGAAGTATCGGTGATTTGTGTCATAGTATGGTACACACGGGTTTAGGCCTAAATTATTCTAAAATCAACGATGGTTTTTATCACTTTAGGATGGCATTTGATTTTTAAAGGCGTATCTGGAGCAGGAGAACCAGATCTGTATCATTTATGGCGAGATAACGGCTCGTTAAACGCCTTGAACGACTCAGCACGTGCACTAAATGACAAGCTTAAAGCACATTTAAAAAGTCCGATGGTAGACAGGTGGTCGGAGTTTGAAATACAACGGGTACGTTCAAATAAATTAATTTAAATCACGAGTAAAATAATTTACTTTTTAGTAAGTTTCATTGCTACAAATACTCTCGTGGACCAATGATACATTTTCATAAAAATATCATTTGCAAGTTATACAAATAATCCTACTATGAAATAATATCTTAACGTTTGAGCGTATCCTATACGCTTGGAACTAAAGGTGAAAGTACGGCGTATTTGAATCGCGTGTACATCATCACCACCGTCATCGCTGTCGTCATCATCATCATTATCACCATCATCATCAATACCACAATCAACATCACCATCATTATAATTATCATCAACATCATTATTATCATTACAATCATCATCATCATCATCATTATCACTTATTATTATCGTCCTTATCACTGTCATCATCCTCATCATTGTCACCACCATCAGCAATATCTTCACCATCGCCATAAAACAATATCTATGAAACCTAGGCTAAGGGACTCCACTAAATGACTGCACAATCCACCCAATAGTGAACTTCTGACTCGCGTGACGACGCGACTGACCTATGCAGGTAGGTATGCCTAACCTACGTTACTAGTGATACTAGCGATTCTATTGAGGTCATATCCGCATAATCTCTTACAATCTAGTAAAGAAATTCATATTTTTAAGGTAAATGTTTTGTATGTAAACTTTTTCAAATTGTTCTACTTGTTATACACTATATAAATGAGTGAGTAGTATAATTTCCGTTTGATTGAATATACTGTATAGGCATATATATAATATAGGCCTATATATACATACTGTACATACATACGCCTACATACATATATATTTATAGTTTGAATTTTTTTAGTGTTCAAATGGCACTTATTGTGCGTTTCTAATTTCAGGTTAAAATTTCTTTCTACAAAGATGGCGTTCAAGAGGCCTACATGATATTTGATGGTAGTCATACGGAAAAAATGGATTGGTTTGCTTTAGAGAACGTAACAAGTAGCTCATACGACTTTACAGCACCATTTTTTTCCTCGATTAAAGGGTAAACAAATAATGCAACTACTTTACCCACACCACCACTATTTTAGCACCACTAAGCGCTAGACATTGCACGCCGCTGACTAGCCGAATTAATCTAACACTACTATGTTACTACTACCATTTCTACTACTTCTTTTGGATTACCACATTATTCTAGGGAATTTTGTCATACCAAAAAATGAAACCATATCATACAACATTGGGTGGGGTAGGGTATTACTTTATCTCGTACGAGTTCAATATTCACACAAAACCAAATTGAAAGACTTCATACATTACATAGCCAGCCTTAATTGAATGTCATCAATTTAGTACAACAGGTCTTGAGTTTTTGTGTTTACAAGCCTGTCCTACAAATATATAAGAAAATTTCACAATGTTTTGCTACGCATAGTATTTTGTCGAGAAAATAATATTGGCTGATATATGCCTTATAATTGGTCTATCTGGTTATACTTGGTTATACTGTAGCTTATACTATTATTGGTTCCTATGCTGTAAACAATAGGAACTTTTACAACGTATATTCGTCCGTATGTCTGTGACGCTGACGCCATCAAAATCGTGGTAAATTTGTAAGCAAGCTTGAATTTCCAAACACCTGTTGGTTTGAATTTTTTTCATACATAGTATTGGCCGTACGTGTAATTGTGTCAGAAATATTTAAGCAATACACGAGAACTTTATTACTCCCCGCCCTCCATAATCAATAT